CCCCAAAACCCCAAAACCCCGTGAGGATTTAAATGATTAGAGGAGCATATGATTAGTTTAAAGTTGGAGTCAAATCATATAAAAAGAAGAGAAATATTTAAATTATACTTAATTTTTAGGATTATTATTAAAATGAATATTTTTTCTTAGAACTCACTTTCGAAATAATCTTTTCTCCCCTCTTCTTAATAGCCTACATAGCAACCTTCAACAATGACCTAGCCCAAACTTTTTGAGAGTTTGCCAATCTAGTATCATGAAGAGCTCAGAAAGCAGTTGTTTTAGGAGTCTGCTGCTCAATTAATGACTCTCTATAAAGAGAGCATAAAGAGATGCGAAGAGTCATATTTCCAGGGCAAGGAAGATGCTTACTAGGAAATCCTCAAATGGTTTATGAGCTTTAACAATGGCGACTTCAAGCATGTTAGCACTTACGAATTCTTCAATTTCATCACCGGCAAGCTTTAAGAGCACAGAACAACAAAGAAAAAATCCCCAAGCGGGATAAATCTGACCTCTACCACTTCTAATTCAGGGATTCCTATGGCATCAGCAACTGGTCAGAATCTAGTGGGCTAATAGTCTTTAATCTAATAGCAAACTACAAATTTAAACTCTACTTAAAGATGTCATTAAAATCAACAAATTTAAATCAGAGATAATGCGACTAATTAGCTTTAGAGTTAAGGTTCTAATTTGTTGACAGAAGTTCCTTCCTAAGGCAACAATAATTTAAGACCAAACAATATCAGCAATAACCTTGGTGCTGGCATAATCGGTGGAACAAATCAGGTTTTTGCTAGTCAAAAGGATAATTATATTGACATTTTAGCAACGGTCACCGAGATGGAGGCCTTAAATGAAAGAATCAATATAGTGCAGAAGATTAATTTCAATTTAAGTAATATCAAAGTCTAAGATTCTAAGAAAAGAAGAAGACCAAATTCCAATTATTAAGATTTCCAGCACATTCTTTCGAAAAATTAAATTGGCAAGTAAAGTTAAAATGACTTTGAGTACTCTATGGAAGAAGACGCTTTGTCTAAATAATTCTACAATAAGATTAGATTTAAGCCTTCAGCAGAGAAAACTGATAGTAGCGGTAACTACAACAACAATGGGGGAGTTTCAAATTACTTTTACCTGAATAATGGAAATCTAAATAATGGTGAATAGCAACTACCTGCTTTCCATCGATAACAGCAATAAGAATAATAAAATAGTCTGTCTAATTCTGGAGGGCAAGATTTCTAATCGCTACATTAATAAACTCAGAGAATAAAGTAGTCTTAAAATTTTTAAAGTTAGGAATAAATTGTCAATGACTCAAGAGACTATCATTAAAATTCTGTTTATGAATAAAGACTTAATCATTAATAATGAATAAAAACTAATTAATTTTTAATTGGATTCAAACACAAAATCAAATTCTCTTTAAATTTTATCACAGGGGTTTTGGGGTTTTGGGGTTTTGGGGTTTTGGGG